CACTGCAAATTACATATGTAACATTGAACTTCTTTCTTTTAGTTATAACTTTTGACCAAATATTAAAAGGGTAAGGCAATCTTTTTTCGGGGTATGTGATTTTGAAACAACGCAGTTAGAGCTAAAAAATTAAAAATAATTATTTGGCGATAGAAATAGGCAGCATAGCTAATAATAACAATCATATTATAATGTCCATGATTTTTATCATTAATTTTTTACGTAGTTCTAAGTTTTGGCATTTAAAGATAACGTACAAGTATCTGAATGTATAGAACTTATGTTTGCGTGTAGCAGTCAATTCCAAAATAACCACTACTAATAATAACAACACGCTGTAGTGCCCACGGTTTTTTAACTTTAAACATTTTGCCTAAATTTAAGGTTTGCCATTGCACATAACATGTGAATATTTACACGCATGGTACTGACATTTGCGTATAGCAATAGTAAGTATCACCATATAGAAATCCTTATGGCCATATATAAATCTATTAGCAATTCAACTAATTATTAGTAATAATATTATTCAGTTGAAAAACATTGATAACTGCAATACACAGAAATATGTAAACACTGAACACTTCATCAGCAGTGTAAAGAGGCAGAAAAGCTGTGTGGCAGGCCTGCCGCCGGTTAGCGCGGCGAGTATACTCCGGTACGGTGGCTAAATTGCGTTACCGTAACTTTGATTTCTCCCTTCTGTATACCCGGAAAACGGTATCTATGTACAGCACGACTTTTATCGTTTTAGTTTTTCTTTTATGACCAGTACACCATGATTACTTATATATTCGTATTTTAGTTTTTACATTTATTCAAATTGCTGCTGTACGTACGCACGCATATGGAAACAAGGGCACATAGATAATGTATGCGTAGCACCCTAAAGTGGAAATAAATCCTAAATTTACTTTTAATCGGTTTTAGTTTTTCTGCATGCATGTATAGGTATACCGGTAGCCGGCAGATAAAGATGACGTACGCGTAGCTCCGTAACGTATAGGTAATCTTAACCTATCAATTTTTAATAAATTTTACTTGCACCCCTAGGGGGGAATCAGTATTTAAGTGGCCAACCGCCCTCGGTACTCGTGAATCTTTGGGGTGGGTGAATTTGCCATTCAGTGAAATGGCATTTCACTCATCACTGGTGTTTTATGGGATGCTGCAACATTGCAAATATCCCGAGGTGCCGTCTCTCGGTGTGTTAGTCGGTTACGAGAAAGGTTCTCGTAAGATAACGTGGTCACAAGCTCACACTCGTGATCGTGACCCGCAATGTCAGTTTGGTCAGACTTCACCGAGCGCCAGAATCAACCTGCCACACTGGATCTCGGCTGGCTAGATATGGCTGGAAAAGTGGGTCTGTCACGTATAGCAAATAGGGATATTTATTACGGCATGAACGCTGGCCAGCCAGTACGAGAGCTAACTCACAGAACAACTACAGCCAGGAAATACAACAACAATCGCCGCGTTGCTAAGTACGACAAAAGCATATACTTATATACACCAGAACACTACAGGGTCACTCGTATATAGTCAGCTAATATCATTAGATACAAAGGCTGCGTTTTCGTCGTGCTGGAAAGCTGTTCACGGCCTCTTGTACAAAATCCGTCAGAAATGACTCAGAATGTACTCTGTAGCGGAAAACTATGTGGAAAACTTTCACGCTATAACTTTGCCGTAGAAGAGAAATGGAGCGCTTGATGTTTATTCGGCGGCATCGGACTGTAGCGCTCAACGGTGGAAATCTGTTTTCCGTAGATTGATCTCCTTTGAAACCTATAAACCTTTGTATATTTTCCCAGGAAACACGACACTCTTTATATAGCCGGTTACATAACAGAAAAACATGACTCCCGTGTAATCTTTGCGCCAGAACATGACCTTTGATGTACAGCGTGCTACAGAGCGCAGATACTGTTTTTCGGTGGCATAAATCATACTCAAATAAAAAATTTCTCCCGTAATCGGCGCCATTATCTTCTCCGCAGCTGTACTGTTTTATGGAATACTGCAAAGTGCAAACCGAACCTCCGCCCAGCAGCAGTGTTTTCCCATGGGAGATACCGTCATTACAGCAGGGTGATGAACAAAGAGCCTATGTACGTCCTCTCCGGTTTCTTCATAATGTTTACCTACAGTAACAGATGATGAGTGCGCCTGATAGCAGTTACTCAAAAAACATGGAATACCGCACTAGGATTGGCTTTCTACGCTACGGCATTCTGTAGCATGTGCAATGCACTACAAATCAACAACTGATCGAACCAAGTAGACGCAAATGAGTTCAAAGGCACTGCGCTACTTGTGAATTCGTAATTGTCTCGGTCTCCTTTTCTTCACGCTTTTATAGACGATCCTAGGACTTTTTTTTATCGATGATCCTAACTTTTACGTGAGGTTTCGAGTTTTATTTAGGCAACCGCCATGTTTCACAGTACTATAAATATCTTCAGCAACGAAGTTAAATCATCCAGACATTGTCGGAAGTATTTGCCATTTTTTGCCATGGAAAGTATTCGCTGGTTCCATGGTCGATTTGTAGCAAACCATAGCAGACAAATGAAGTGGAGAGTATCAACGTAACCGCCTACAATATGCGTGTTTTTATAATCTTTCTGTTATTTTATGCGGACCTTTTAACAGGTTAATTTACACATTCTTTACAATTACGGGAAACTCACCCGCGCCAAAAGTGACCGTGTTACGAAAAAGAACCCTCCAGCATGGAGCACCACCGTCTGATTACGCCGAATAAACAGCAACGCCTCAATTCTTTCTTGAATATTTGGGACGCTCAGCGGTACTTCATCGTCAGGGGACATCGTATTGGCTGTTTCAAGAAACTCATACAGTGCCACCTGAATCGCATCCCACTAAAAATACATAATCAAACACTGCCGACAATTTCCACCGCCTTGCTATGCAATGTCTTTGATATTTACCTGTTCGCCGGCTTTAAAAACGGGAATCAAGAACACTGTGCAGTAAGACACATAGAAACAGAACCATACGATAAAATTTAGCCACGCGCTAAAGCTGATCTTGTCGATCGTGGAGCTCATTAACAGCGATATCACTCCCGCCACGCATCCACACGCCGCCATCACATCGAGCCCGTACATGGCCAGAATGCTCCATCCGTACACACTATTAACATATTCGTTGACAGCATATGCCGTCGCATGGAATTGGTGAATTTGCCGTAAGAAACTGGGGAACTCTCTCTTGGTAAACCCGGAAGTTGTGCTGCGAATGTGTTCACTAAAAATAGTGTAGGCTTCCTTCTGGATGATAGATACCATGATACAAGTTATCAGAATCTGTTGGGAGACGATGAAGATGGGCGTTAAACCGAGTGAATAGAAGACAATCAATCCAGCAACCGGCATTTCCACCGGTGTAAACATCCATGTGCTGGTGTGCCCCGACAGCATGCTGTCGCGCATATTGTACCAAAACTGCCAGTTGATGTAGTCCGCGGTGACGGCCATTACGGCCGACACCGACCCCCAGATGATACCGTACCGCCGCCACTTTCGGCACTTCTGCGCCAAGTGGCTCTGGTGACTGTTGGATATATGGATAAGGTGATTTAGCGCTTCGTGCAGACGGCTGAATGCCGGACTCTGGAACATACATATAACAAAAGGAATCAAGGCGCGCAGGACGCTAGCCGAATCCGGCAAGCGAGCGACGATCTCCACGAGGGAGCTGTCACGGCCGGTCACGATTCTGGCATCGAAACCCATGCGAAAAATGCCGGCGAGATCGAGAATCAGGATGAACGTGGAGTATACCGCAACGGTTACGCAAATCAGCCAACGATGACAAGATCTGGGCTTTTCACTGAACGACGGCAAGCCGGAGAAATTTAGCCAGTGATTCTGAAAGACGCACACATACGACAAAACATCGACCGGAACGGTTGGCTTGTCCATCTTTAATAACAATAACATTATTCCATGAAAGATTTCTGCGTGGATTTTACACAAAATCGTCAGAAAACATTATAAGGGAATCAGTCAATCCAAGTTATCCACGAGTGAGTCCATAGTCACTTTACAGCAAACAACGGTCCTCAGACGTAAGAGTTGTGGAGCGCTATTATTAGCTAACAGCTACACATGAGTGCCCCTGGGATCTCTGTGTCCTGCTGCTCCCGCAATTCTGCAAGTCCTGCACATTGTACCACTGCTTCATTTGCAACTTTGGTGAGCGGCTGAAGAAGTGTTAAGTTTCGGTACGTGGAATATGACTTCCAGAGCGCCCAATGGCAACAACGATTACGCAGTCACATTCTAACGCGTGTAGTGTACCTACAGAAATCAGTACTACTGTGGTTAGTAGGTTTCTCGTGACACATAAAGCATCCCATAGCCAATTTTTAATTATTTTTGGTTTTTGGTTTCACGGTTATAAGTCGTCGGAAGTGTTAATTTACTGCAATGGCGCATGGCCGGTAGATACGACCGCACAAGAACGTTAACCGTTTGCAATTCTTTCGCATTTTATATACCACGCTTTTCCCTTTTGAGCAGCACTGGCTGCCTTTTCTGCTACATCTAATTTCCCTTGACCGGCCGGACGCACACTGCCAGTCTGTCACTCACATAGTCACATCAGCAATATGTCTCGTACATTAGGCCATAGAAGTACAAGCCCGGCCCGAAATTTTTAAACCGCTGTAAGCGGGATATTTGAGAAAAGTGGGCTTGAGCCATTCAAGGTGCTCTACGCCAGTGCATCCAGTGAAGAGTAGATAAAATCTAGCCTATCTGTGCGCTATTCACTGCGTCGCGCTTACAGCGGTTTAAAAATTTCGGGCCGGGCTTGTATGTATGTAGAAAATGTATCACTGCCATGAACCAATATCGATCGTGCAAGCGATTGTCGACCGTCTTTCCAGAGGCCATAGACTGTGTATGTGTCTGTACTGATGTAAGGAATCTAATAACGTCAAATATTTGACACTTACCATAGTATTTCTATGCATCGTGGGGCTTTCCAAATTTTTATTACTTGTATTTTTTATTTCCACAAGTATTGGTTGTCAGTTACGGGTTTTGAATATGGCTAATCATGATTTGCGTATATGCAGTGCCGACCTATCCGATGGACAGCAAAGTGGACCACGGATTCCTGAGCACTGCACGGTGAAATGCGTGATTACGCGTAATACATGGAAGTGTGTTAAGGTCGCCCTATGTTTCGCAACATTTACGCTCTTGACGACTCTGGTGCGATTTTTTTTACTTGTTGCGACTGCCGGTTTCAGCGAAGACTTTATCATCAATGATATAGTAAGTCGCTAGTATAAGAATAAAATATAAATAAAATCAATTTTGTGAAACCGCATAAAATTTCACGCGCAGTGCTCTGGCTTCACCCCCTTAATTTTATGATATACATACAAACTCGCATTAATTCAGAAAAACTTTAAATGCCCTATATTGTGCTTAAGGAACAGTAAAATCGAAGAGCTAACCAACTGTTAATAGCCTTATTAAAATAATCAGAGCGCTCGTAAATCGGATTTCAATAACACAAGTTTTAAATTTTGCAAAGCACTTTTTCATATTTATTGCGGAAGGGTTTTATGTAATTACGCATTTTAGTTAAGTAAACGTCTGTAACCTAGTTCAAACTGTCGTTTGCAGCCGGAACCTTCCCGGAAGAAAGTGTGGATGGTCTTACAAATGCCAGCAATCATCATTCAGATGCATTATTTCTTGCACCCCGTCGCCGCAATGATCGAAATAATACGGATATTTGTACACTTGCAAAACTTTCGCCAAAGTTCTGCTGTATTGCCCAATATGTCAACGTATACAACAGCCACAGCGTATTGGTGGAAGACGTGTCAAAGGATGTACGACGAAGTTCGCTCGGGGAAGTATGTGCCGATTGTCAATATGGGTTACGTCGCTAGTCTTGTTTTCGTCGGATTTACGACGGAGCTGCTGGACGGTCAACGTTCTATGGACGCGCATAAACGAATCTTCATACCGATGGTGATCATGGAAATGATGAATTTCGCCGTTGCCTGGTTCTACCAAAAGGAAGTGAATAACCTGGGGTCGGCTATCCTCGAAGAGTGGTACCATCAGAAGACCAAAGTTTTCGTAGCGTGTACGGATGATAACATGACAGACATGGCGCAACTGCTCTGGTCAACCAATGCGAATCCGACCACCCGAAGATAGATGTCAATGCTGTCAAAGCCGTAAACACCCTTGGCCACGGGTCCATTATTTAAAAAGGGTCTTGTCTTACGTACAATGTACAAATGCCGAATCACTTATGGCGTGTGCGGGTGTTTCTTATCTGTGTCGCGTCAGAAAAATGGACATTTCGTTTAAGAAATATTCTTACTGAAAGTCGTGAAAATGTGTGTTTTCATTTTGGTTTTGCTCGTACCAAAGCCTGATTAAATAATAGAAAACTTGTGCGAGTATTGCATTACCTATTCCCTAACTAGCAAAAATTACGTTACATTCGTTGGTTTACCGGTGCCCGATTTTGGCTAGTTACCAAGCTTAACTTGAAACCAAATAATTCAAAGTACCGAAAATTCCAGCATATTTGCATATATGTAATAAAGCTACATTTATGGGTTAAATAACTGCAACATTCATTGCCAAAGACACCTTTTACGACTCCTATTGTCACAAGTTCCATAAAGGCCACTCTAACAATGTTCGCGCTGGGCCGTACATAGTTTGAATCTCTTTATTTGAATAGAAACTGCACACTAACGACTCGTACATGTTGTTCAATGTGTATAATCAAAACCACGATCAAAACTAATTATTTAACGAAGCACGTACAGTTTCTCAGCGGACAAAACGTAAATAAAACAGCATACAAGGAAGAACACTAGGAAAAATCACAATAGAACCGGGCCATGCGGCGAAGACACGTTTAGTTCTCGTCCACTTTCAGGCGACTGGAATGGCCGCGCTGTTTGTTCATCTGCTGCAGCATCAATCCGATATAACTGGTCAGTAAATCATCGATTTTGTATCCCTGTTCAAGAGCAGCGTGATTACTGATTAAAGCTGAATCAACAAAACTTCAGTCTGAACCACGCGCATGGCTTACCAATGCGGTTTCGCAAAGCAGTTTGGTGCCGCGCACCAAATTGCCGATGGTCATGTGGAAGAAGGTGTTCCCGCTGCTCCAGTTGGAAATCCTCGTGAACGGGTGAACATCCAGGATTTTCTAATTCATAAGCAAGCAGGCTTCAGTGAGCAGCTTTTTCAAATTTTGCTTACCCATAAATATCTTGCATTGTTTTGTTATTTACACTATTTAAAAAATTTCTTTTCTGTTAGAATATATTTTTTTAATCACATTTTTAATAGCATTTGTTTATGTTTTATTAGTTTCTGTTGTTTGAAGTAAATCTCCTTTTACCTTTGATGCCGGGTCAATCAGATTGACGCCATTCTTGTTGATGGCCAAGAGCAGACGTTCCGGATAATTTGAATCGGTTGTTTGCTGCAAAAATATTCGCAACGATAAATGACTATGTCAACGAACCACTCTTTTTTCCGCGATTCCACATACCCGAACTTCGAAGAAGGCCGAACCGAATGTCGGCCACTTGGCGATGTATTTCAAGAAGGCCACTTTAGCGTCATCCTCACTATAGCCGGTATCGCCGTTAAACGACGCCGTAATCGAGCGTTTCCAGTCGGATGAGTTCTGCGCTCCGATTAAATCCAGCGGAATCAAATCTACATTTACCTAAAGAGTCACTTAACAGCTGTCCGTTGAATTACTTCCAAAAAAAATTACAAGCGACAATCAATAATTTAATGGTCGATTTGTTATTTAACTGTGTTTAATTACTAATACTATTGTAATGAACCTTTGTTCGGCAAAAGCCGGCACACATATCAAAAGGCCCACGTTGTTGCATACTGATTAAATAAACAAAATTTAAATTTTAGAAAATTAGGAAGTGTTTAATACAACAAAATTACAAAAAAATGGTAATATCGAACAATCTGCCGTGTAAAAGATAAAAAGATATTCGTGGCGATACCTTTGAGTCGGTTGGGGATGGATTGCAGTTCATTCTTGCTCTCGCCGTATTTAGCGCGGTAGATCAACGCGGCCAGCTTCATCGCGTCCTCCTTCTTGACATCGTGGAAGCCGCGGAGGTATTTGGGCAGTTCTTGGTGGTAGTGGAAGATGAGGTCGGCCTGCCGGTCACGCCCTGGCACCGTGTTGGTCCAGAGCTTCTTCATGAAGAAGACCTGGTAGGTGAACTGCGGGATGATCGTGCCGCTGCTGGGCTTGGCCTTCTTGATCCAGTCCGTCTGTAATAATGTGCACTTCATGCAAGACCGTTATCACAATGCAAAAAAGTGAGAAATGCGAATTTTTTTGGACCGTAACAGTTTATAGCCCCATCATAGTTCAAAGCAGGATCAATTCACTGAATAAACGTCTTACCAAATGCCGAACGAAATCGAAGAAAAAGTCCCTTTCCGGCACACTGATGACCTTATCGGCAATCTTGACAAATAAACTGAATCCTTCGGATGATCTGTGCAAGCAGTATAAAAAACAACATTAAACAACCAGAATGCGTTGTAAAATCAGTAATCCTGTCAGGATTACCGTAAATTTAATCGATGGGAAATATTATGGCAGAAATGTTTGGCTTTCGTGCTGGAGTCCACTTCGAGCGCCTCATCCGTATCATCGGGGAAGTAGACTTTGTGGAAGATCTGTGTGGTCTTGTGCTGGATGGCTTCCACCTCAACCTGCACAATTATTCCACATTTCGCTTAAATAATTCCAAATAAAAATCATGAGAAGAACGGCGTACCTGGTGTGGCGGATATTTGCGGGTGCCGGCTTTCTTGGTCTTCTGCAGCCGGTTAATGCAGTCCAGTGCGATTTGATGGCGCTGTCGGGACCGCAGAATGGCCATGCACTCCTTTAACAAGTTCTCACTGGGTGCGAACAAGCCGGTCACCAGCCACAACAACTCCCAGCCGCGTTCTTCGCCGACACGACTGCGGTTGTCGGTTAACTGCTTTAAAATCTGGCAGTAGATTTCGTCTTTTAGGAGGTCTTCCTTTAATGCTTTCTCGAAGATCTGATCGGTCAGTTCATTTGAAACTCTTCAAAACCAAACAAATTTTTAATAAACTTGCCTTATTATTAACAACTATGAAAATTCAACAGCACTCAAATTAAAGAAGATTACTCGCACTGAGCAAAAAAATAAAAACGATTACATATTACTGAGCAGCAAATTTGTGCATAAATCTGATCGATCAGCGCACTCGAAAACTGGATAAAATTAAATTATTTTCAAAAATGTTAACTTCCCTCCTTATTAAAAAATAAAAATTATTTACAAAACACATTAATTTAAATATTAAAACACATTATGCATGCATAATTAACTGTAAATGCGTTATTTTGATGACATAAATAAATTTTGTGCAGAATTTATAATGAAAAATTACCAAAATAGGTTTAATATTCACCGGTAAAAGTCGATAAAAATTAAAGCAGACTGAGCGCCACTTTTCCTTTACCTGGATTTCTTGCTGGGCAGATCGCCCATATACTTCATAATGGCCTGGAACGCCGAACACGCCTCCTGACTGAGCTCATCCTTCACCTGGATCTTCTTCAGCAGCGGCAGCTTAATCGGCTCCCGTGTGTGCTTCCACAGTTCCTCCTTGTCCTTCTTGCGCACCGTCGTTAGCGGCGACGGGATGCCCATGACCGGGCCCTTCTTGGCCGGCTGACGGAAGTGCTCGGCGGCGTAGTGCTCCAGGGTGTGGAACTTGGCGGTGGGTTCCTGCACCGTGATCTTGTTCAGGTCCATGATGGTCATGGGGTCCATGGTGAAGAGGGTCAGCAGTTCGGGTTGCGGCTTACTGAGGGTGGGCAACAAGTACACGCATTCCGACCCGAAGTCGCCCACTTTGTTGGTGCGCTCGCAGCGCCCGTAACACCAGCCGCCGTTCAGCAAGCTCTCGCCGGTGGTGTTGTTCTCCAGGATGATCAGGTCGCCCTTCTCGAAGCTGAGGAAGGAGGAGTTCTCTGTTGGAGCCTGTCAGGAGACACGCATGATGGTACAATAAAACAACCGACAGTACCCGACACTATGTACAATTAACAACGTAAAAGAAAAAAGAAATATACGGTATGTGTCCTTATATGTATGCATTTTGGTTTTATTTGCTTTTATAATATATGTTACGATATAAAATTAATTATTTTCTTGACCTGTAAACTTATACTGAAACGCATATTCCACAAAAATAAGACAAAAATATATTAAAACAAAATTCACACTCCTTGAAGAGATGCATCTTTATCTTTTGCATCCATTTCTGTAACTGCACGGTACCAATGCAAGAAATTTTATCAGTTTATACGTCTTGGACTTGAAACGTTAAAAGAATTACATCAAATAATTCCCGATCTGCTAGCTTAAAAATGAAATTTCGTGTGCATAACGGGATAACCACAACCATAACAGGAATATCTTCTTGAGTCGCGTAGTCTTTAAAGTCTACACGGCCCAAGAATATATTCTTGTTAGGGTGTACTTTGTCGGTATCAAAGTGAAAAGGAATACAGTTACACGCGCTATCCGTTGCACTTATTCTCCTCTCGTTATCACGTCGCGTTCGCTTGGTATTACGGATAAATCTCGTTTCTGGCGGTTTTACAACGGTTTCTTCTAACTTTTGAAAAGTCTTCCAGCAAAAAATTGTCAGCAATGACCAAAGATCTTTCAAAAGGCAACTCATCTTCTTAACCGGCTGAATAGTGAATATTTATCGGGGTACCGATCGAAGCTCAGAATTAATTCCCTCATTATTTCGGAAATGACCGTTCAACACAACCGCATTAAAATTATCAAATGATCGCAAAACATCTTGGTGGTATACTGCAGTAGTTAAGTTGACCACAGAGATTGCAACCGCCTCGTGGATGTAAAAATAAGCGCAAGTGTACCACTCGTCTTAAACGATATGGAACATCACTGCAATTTATTGCGGCTATGGCTTTTCAAAATCAACAATTCCAACAAAGAATTTGGCTTCAAAGTGCAGAAAAAATAATCCCAAAAATGTTAAATTTTGACGATTTGGCATAATTTACGAAAGAGAACGCATGAACCATTTCTTAACTGCAAGTCTGTCCAATGTGGATAACTCATATGAATCGGCCGTTTGCCATTGCTCTACGATTGCTAATATTTATCGTAACTTTACACCAGGAATACGATATACATAACCGTGACTGGGTAGTTTACGGTTCTGAATTTAAAAGCTGTTTCAAATAACTAACCATGTTAAAAAATACAAAAAAAATGTCCCCTGTTCACAAAATTTAAAATAAAAAAGTATATCCCATGTTTACAAACAAATAAAAAACAAAATATGTAACAATTATCAATAAACAAAAAACAAAACAACTGACAAGTACACTCGGCCTGAGTGTCCGTACGATTAAGCCGTGTAATCCGGTCAACTACCGTCGGTAATCCGCAAAACCGGCTACATTAACAAGTCGCTTAAGAAGCAAATACCATTTCCGCACCCCACACTACATAATTATTAATACAACCTGAACTATCTAAGCACGGTCGATCTGCAATTCTCCCTCACCTTAAAATCCTGGATGGCCACACAGTATTTACTCTTCCGCTTCAGCCCGTCCAGGAAGAACGCGATCAGCTCCTGAATGTCCTCGGCGTTGCTGGAGCGGAAGCTGAAATCGCCGCGGATAGTCTGCAGATTGAAGAAGATGGACTGCGTGCGGATCCCGTTGGCCTGCTGCTCCGGCTTGACGCAGGCGATCCCCGTGATCTCCGGGTAGGTTAACTCCAGTAGCACCTGCTCATCATCGTCCACTGCAACACACCGATCAACCCACATCAGACAACATAACAACAACGTCGTCCATCGTCAACCACGCGCATCTGACACGTCCTCCATCATAACGCCATTCAGCCAGCATCATATCAATAATTATGATCATACCGGTGTATAACGGAGAAAACGGACAGTTTGTCTTTTTCTCTACACTGTGTTTATGTAAATAATCAAGACGCTCGTGCTGTAGATGCTGAGCACGAGAGACAACCATGTCAAGTGCGGCTTCATCTACAGGGATTTAACTGGCGCTTGTAGCCGGCAGATATATTGGCCTGACTGTTGGCGAGCCCGGCAGGAAAGTGGTTTTCCTCCCATATATCTGCCGAACGGCACCCACATTTCTGCCGACCCGACCCTATGCATTGCCTATGGGACCTCCAATATATCAGCCGAACCGGCGCAACAGTGAAATTTGATATTTCTGTTGAGCGCAAGCCGGCAAGCGGCAATAGCACGGCCGGGATTCAGCAGGAGATACATCATACAGCCACATATTGTACCGGCAGTCCGGCACTACACAGACAAAAGGCGCGCGCTTTCCCCTGCGCCGTGTCTAAACCTTGCAGAGAAGCGTGTTGCTGAGTGTGGATACACGCACAGACATCTTCGTGAAATATAGTAATTATTGAATAGATTTATTTCTTCCAAATTCGATTCTGACACCTACAAACTGTGGAAGGTGTACATTATCCTTACATAGTCTTTCTTAAAAATCCTCTCGTACTTTATTCGGCAATAGATCCTACATAAAAAAATTCTATAAGCCTGTGCATGATGAAACTGTAAAGTGTAAACGAATAAAAAAGCTTTCTAAAAAGCATTACTTATAAAAATTAGCAACACATATAAGCAACATATTGTCAGTTTAATTAAAGCACCCACATTTAAAAAGTGGTTTTGATACAGCGGCCAATACTCCAGTAGATCTGCCGAACTGCGCCCATAGTCCTGACGACCCGATCCTATGCATTGTTTATGGGAACTCCAATAGATTTGCCGAACTGGCACAACAGTGAAACTTGATATCCTTACTTAATGATTGCATGCTGGCTTCAACTGTCCGGGAGTTCTGCAGCTTGAAATAAGGCCGCATAGATATTGTATCACCGCTACATGGGCAAGGCATCGGTTATTATCGTTTTTCGGTGCGTATTATTTTTTATTAAATACGGCAATACTGGTGGATGCACATCTGGCTAGCTACAATAATCACTGCTAAACTTTTCTTTTTTTCTTACGCAGACAGTTTGATACTTCGGTACAGTTATTTATTTTCCCGAAACGATTTTACTTTGTGTAAAGTTATTTTCTTTGACAAATCGATGCGTAAGTTAAAGTATCTACAGGGTGGCTAATCTAAACTAAGTAGTGATTTCCAAATAATATTATATATGTACTGGTACGAGTACTACCGACTACTACGTCAGCGATATTCTAGTTAGCTGTTGCCTTTTCGAGTTTATTAGTGATAATTAAACTCTTAATTATGCTGGGAATTAAACATTATGATTAATTCAATTAAAATTATGGCAATTTTGATTATGCTGGAGCATAATTAAAATTGCGAATTTTGAATTAAGCTTGAGCATAATTAAAATTGGTCAATTTTAATTATACTTAAGCTTAATTATGAGTCAAATTAAAAATAATATTTTCTGATAGATCAAAAGAAAACTGAATTTTAATTATGATGAGCAAAATTAAAATTGGGCAATTTTAATTATGCTCCAGTTTAATTAAAATTATTGAATTTTGATTATGCTGATCATAATTAAAACTCAGCGATTTTCAATTATGATGAGCTTAATCAAAATTATAAGCAAAATAATTTTGATGAGTTTAATATTCACTAGAGTTTATAACCACTTATTTTCGTTCTGCGCCTCTTACGTTACTTGCGAGATACAACTGACATGTTATGACGCGGCTGACCTTACTTTTACTAAAAATTTCCTTTTCTGTTGTGCGGTCTAATAACTGTTCACCTAATTTATTAAACCACAAAAAGGGCTTAGCAAGTAATTTATTTAATTTTACCAAGTACGTAAAATAACACCGATGCATATTTTGTACTTGCCTGCTTGCGCACAATAAAAACGTTAACGGAAGCATCCATACGATTTTTCTCTATGTATTTTATACATGGAGAAAAATCGTGTATTGCAATTATACAAAAACATGCATCATTTTTTAGGCCTAAACAAATTTTTAAGGGTTGACATAGGTGCTGTTTAATAAGTACTGCATGACGAAATTTGGGTAAATTGAAATATTACAGGAAGCGCGCAAATACTAATTAAGTTATTATTGTATTTGTATGTATATTTGCTACGGTGGCTACTGCCAGATGTCTTCATCCACCAGTATTACCGTAAAAATAAGAAAAAAATATGCACCGAAATACGATAAATAACTATTGTATAACAGATCTTGCCTGTGTAGCTCTGGTACAATATCCCTGTCATCCGTATGTCAAGCTGCAGCACTCCTTGCAAGCTGAAGCCCGCATGCAATCATTACAGTTATCGAGATTCACTGTTGCGCCGGTTCGGCTGATTTATTGGCGTTCCTATAGACAGCGCATAGAGTCGGGTCGTCAGAAATGTGGGTGCAGTTCGGCAGATACAGAGGTATATTGGTTGTTGTATGAAACATACTTTTTAATTTTGAGTGCCCAAATTTTGCATGACATCGCCAATTAAACTGTCTATAAGGTCAAGTTGCCTATGTGTTAAAGAATGTAAAGAACTTATGGATTTTCAGTAAACGTGTTTCATTTTGTTAACAGTTTCATCAGCGCATATATTGTAGATGCATACCAAATTGTTTGAATAGTGGCGGTTGCTGAATTAAATGCTTAGCAATTTTTAAGTAAAGCTGTCTACTAAAAATGCACACCCTTCACAACTTGCATGCGTGAGAAAAATGGTTATTTGGAAAAAATGAATATAAGTCCGGTTCAAAATAGACCGGAAATTTAGTAAATCCTGACAATTGTGAAAATTCTGCAAAAGCTGAGTAACGCACGAGATAAGATAAGCGCTCATAACTGGTCCATATTGCGATGAGGTGTCTTTTGCACGTTTGTATCCACGCCCCAAATATTCGTAAATGTTGCTCTAGAAAAAGCTACTCGAGAGTAGAATATTCGAGCGTCAAAGTCGCCAATTTGGATACATTTTTTGTATTTCTCATGCAAACTCATGTGCACACATTTTAAAGCTTACATTTCACTGCGATATGCCGTGATCGTACACCTCAATAATTATCCATTAATAAGTATTGCTAACACCTATCGGGTATCGTCGACACTGCTACGTGCACAATCTTAATAACTAATTAATAACATTATAGTTAGTGTTAATTGGTCATGCTGACTCATGCAAACACATTCTGGTAGCGTAAACCAGAAAGTGCGCGTAGGGCGCATAAGTCTCTAACATAACTTAAGTTACCACGTCTCTAAGTTACCACGACGTGTTAAAAAGTCTAATTATAATTAATTAATTAACAACGGGTCCATTAGATTTAAAAATTTTGCGGATAAATGGTGTACAGAGTATTGATTAATTCGCTGACCGGCTGGCGGTTATTAACTTGCAACTGGTAGCGTTAACTAACTGTTTTAAATTAATCGTTAATTATAGGAACTTTTTTAATTTTTTAGTTAATTTGAAGCACTGAATTCGGTAGGCAATACATATATAGGTAACAGGCAGCAACAAGGTGCAAACTGCAAAGTGAAGTTACAGACTGGAATGAAAGCACACCATAAGGGAAAATGTCGCACGTTTTTGCGCTCCCAAAATTGCCCGCTCGATGCAGATATATGATGCATCATTGCCGTGCAGTTATTTGATGTTTGTTAAGGTTTAAAGTTCGATTTTTTTAAGCGTGTGTCACAGATTACCTTCGCTGAAATCTTCATAACTGAATTTTGAGCCTAACTATATTCAACAATTTTCTTTGTTTGGGACGATAATTCTCTCTGCAGAAACGCTCTCCTGCAAGGATTAGACACGGCGCAAGAAAGCGTTGGCTTCGCTCTGTTTATTGCCGGTACAATATGCTAACAGGCGACTGTATGTGTATATGATCCAGCCCGGCCGAGCTATTGCCGGTTCGCGCTCAATAAAAGTATCAAATTTCACTGTTGCGCCAGTTCGGCTGATATATTGGAGGTCCCATAGGCAATGCATAGGGTCGGGTCGGCAGAAATGTGGGTGCCGTTCGGCAGATATATGGGAGGAAAACCACTTTCCTGCCGGGCTCGCCAACAGTCAACAGGCCAATATATCTGCCGGCTACACGCGCTGATTGCTGACACGGTGGCGTATTATCTACGTACTCTATAAACCCCTTCAACTAATGAATCCACTGTAGCACCACTGTGAACATCACAAGTTCAAGAAGTACCCGCTGACTGCTGACACACTGGCGTAGTGCAACGTACCTTATGCTCCCAGTAAGCTACTGAAACCGCTGTGGTACCACTGTAGAATAACAAGTGAAACAAGTACGCGCTGATTCCTGACACGCTGGTGTAATATAAAAGTTCCCTAAAAAACCCAGTTAGCTAATGAATCCACCGTGGAACCACCGTTGGATCACAAGTGAAACAAGTACGCGCTGATTGCTGACACACTGGCGTAGTGCAACGTACTTTATGCACCCAGTAAGATACTGGAACCGCTGTGGCACCACTGTAGGATCACAAGTGAAACAAGTACGCGCTGATTGCTGACACGCTAGCGTAATATATAAGTTCCCTATAAACCCAGTTAGCTAATGATTTCACCGTGGAACCACTGTGAAGATCACAAGTGCAACAAGTACGCGCTGATTGCTGACACACTGCAGTAGTGCAACGTTCCTTATGCACCCAGTAAGCTACTGGAACCGCTGTGGCACCACTGTAGGATCACAAATGAAACAAATACGCGCTGATTGCAGACACGCTAACGTGATACATAATTACCTTATAAGCCTCACGAACTAATGCATCCGCCGTGGTACCACTGTAGGATAACAAGTTGAACAAGTACGCGCTGATTGCTGAC